TCTTCATTCATGACAATCGTGCCGTCGGTGTCATTTCCCTTGTCGTCGTTGTTGTCACTGTCCACGTGACTATTACTGTTGATACTTTCATCCTCCTCATCCACGGCACTCTCGATCACGCTGCCACTCGCGTCGTCGTTATTCTCGTTGTCGTCGTCGTTGCTGTTCTCGTTGTTCTCATCGTCTTCATCATCGTCGTTGTTGTCCTCCTCCTCTTCCTCCTCAATCATCACGCTCTCGGTACCCATGCCCGTGATGGTGATGTTGTTCTCGGCGACGGCACTGTTGTCCCCATCGCTTTCGCTGTCGCTGTCGCCGGCATCCTCGTCATAGACATCGTGGGGAAGCGGCTCGTCATCGCTCGACTCCTCGTCCACAACAACGCGTCTCTTCTCCTCTTCCTTCTCCCCTTCCTCGTCTTCCTCATCTTCATCGTCTTCATCGTCTTCATCGTCATCTTCTTCTTCTTGTGCTTCTGTTGTGTCTTTCTCCCCTTCCTCCTCTTCCTCCTCCGTGTCCGCCCTCTCTTCCTCCTCCTCCTCTTCCATAAATGCTTCCTCCTCCACAATCGACTCGTCCTCGTCCTCGTCCTCTTCTTCCATCAGAACTTCCTCTTCCTTCATCGGCGCTGCCCCTGTCGCCTCTCGTTGCTCCCCGCCCTCCCCCGTCACCGCCGCCCCACCCCTCCCTGCCTCGGCCTGCTGCACCTCTTCCTCCTTTGCCATTTGTGCTTCTTGCAGCTCCCTCTCCTTCTGCTTCTTGATCGCCCGCTGCCTCTTCCACCACCGCGTGTATCGGTACACCAGCTCGTCCTTGTCGCGGATGTACACGTCAATCTTCCTCCGCCGCCGTTTGCTCATCAATGCGTAAACCTGTCGCCGTATTTCCGCCCGTCCACGCACGCGAAAGTCCAGTTCGCCCTGCATACCAAGCCGCCCCCACCCCTTGATGTCTGCCATCCTCGCATCTGTGACTCTGTATCCACTGCGCATCGCCCTTGCGCCGGCATCCTGCGGCCTGTGCCCGCTCGCCCGCCACTGGGAGAGCTTGCGGTAGCGCTGCACTGTTGGGAAGCGAGACTGAAGGTGACGCCGGGTGCGGGTCACAACGCTGTGGTGGCAATGTTCGTGAGATGTGGTGCATGGGAGTGGTGGTGCACGTGGGTGAGTGTGTGAGTGAGTGGGGGTTGTGAAAGGACTTCTCCTCTTGTGTCTCTGTACAACTATCACATTCCATCGCATTACAGAACAGTACAGTACATGACAACCACACAGACGACAACACACCGTGTTGGCACTTTGGACCACGATGTGCTGGCAGCCAAGAGCACCGACTCCCACGACGCTGGCGATGCAGACACAGCAGGCAGCGGGGGGTTGACAGAGGTGAGGGCAGGGTGCTTCCGCGACAGTACAGAATACATACACACACGCGAATGTGTGCAAACTTGCACAAATGGACGTGTGCAAAACACACACGCGCGTTGATCTGCGACATCCACCCAGAACGCACTTGCATAAGTACATGTGCATGTGCACATGCGAGGAGACACAGACACACACACACATGCATACACAATGACATGCACACAATGACATGCACACACAATGACATGCGCACACACAATGACATGCACGCGTGTGCCTGCAAAGATGAGAGCGTCACACCTGCGCGTATGGTTGAGAGGTAGGGCCTGTGTTGCACAACACATGCAGTTGGAATCGTGGTTGAGGGAAAGCGGCAATGAAATATCAGACTGAATGCAGGCAAAGCAATCACAAGCGCAATGCTCGCGCAGCACACAACATACAATACAGGAAACACACACACACCACATACAACACAAATACAACACACACACACAACACACAAATACAACACACACACAACACAAACAACAACACAAATACAACACACACAACACACAACAACACAATACAAGAACATACACGAACAAACACACACAACACGCGTGACACAACAGGGTATTTGCACGACTTACGTTCCCGGGGGTGCGTTGAAGGCCATGATGATAAAGTCGTGGAGCAAGCGCTGCACCTCCTCAATGACTGCCATGGTGATCATCTCAAGCACGTCCGGAGGTATCGTTGCCCCGCGGTACCCAGCGTACCGGTGCGCAGACTGCGACGGGTCAAGCAGCACTTGCCTGATGGTGGTGGTGGTGATGGTGGTGATGGCATGAGTGCAGGTGTGAGTGCAGGTGTGAGTGCAGGTGTGACAGAACAGGCAACAAAGCATCATGTCCACGAGTGATCCTGCCTCTGCTTCCTTCCTTCCTTCCTTCCTTCCTTCCTTCCTTCCTTCCTTTCCTCCCCTCCATCCCCCCCCCACACACACACACACCTGGTGTGCTGCCAGATGGTCTGCACCAGGCGGCGAACCGGATGGAGCATCCACTGCGTGATGGCGGGAACAAGACGCGACGGCAGCGCCGTGTCCGGTAATCTGTCCTCCCGTGCCATCATCTCCTTGGCGCGCACCCCAAACGGCGAATCATGATTCACAACTTCCTTCGATGGCTTCATCATGTGCTGCCATCGCAGTAGTGGTGGTGGTGGTGGTGGTGGTGCAAGGACGAATGTGTGAGGAGAACGAAAGCAGCTCCAAATGTTGCAAACAGGAGAGATGGCAGCAGGCAAACAGCAACGCCACATCAGTGCAAAGGAGAACATAAGATGTACGCATGCGTGTGTTCAAGCGTCTTATTCACTAACCTCGACAACAACCGTGGCATCCTCATCCTCATCCTCATCATCATCATCATCACCATCATCATCATCATCATCATTGTCGTCGTTGTCGCTGGAACTAGATGAGCGTAACGCGTCCAACACTTCGGCAGGAATGCGGACACATCTGCCATCATCATCGCCATCATCGTTGACACTGCTTCTCTTGTTGTCGTTGCTTCTCTTGTTGTCATTGGTATTGTCGCTGCCACCGTTGCCACCGTCAACATCCCCGCTAGTGGCCACAGCAGCAGGACCAGTGCCACCGCTCCCGCCCGTCGTGCCAGCGGCCTCAACACCGCCCACGTCGTCCCCTCTGCTCCCCGTGCTGGTGCCCTTTGCTGCAGTGTCTTCAGCGACGCCGCTGCCACTAGTGAAGGTGGTAGTGCTTGTGGTGGCGGTGCTTGCGGTGGCGGTGCTTGCGGTGGTGGTGGTGCTGCTGTTCTGTACACCACCATCACCGTTACCGTCAGCGTCACCGCTGCTGCTTCCGCTGGTGTTGCGGACAGCAGCGCCGAGTCCCTTTGCGCGCATGGCATCGAAGAGGGGGCGCTCGTATTCGTGGATGAATCTCAACTCGGTATCGACGCACGGCAGCTTGCTGCGCCTACGACAGCATATTGTGAGGGGTGAGGGGGAAGCACAAACACATGCAACCGTGAGCTGACTGACTGTGTTGCAGTTGACAGTACAAGTACACGAGTGGAGTGGGAGTAATCACAAAACAGACACAGCACACAACACACACACACACACACAGCACACGTACGTCAGCAGAAGCACACACACATAAACACATACACACACAGCACATACATCAGCATACACGCACATACACACACATTCACACACATAAACACATACACACACAGCACATACATCAGCATACACGCACATACACACACATTCACACACATACACACATACACACACACACACACACACACACACACACACACACACACACACACACACACACACACACACACACACACACACACACACACACACACACACACACACACACACACACATTCACACACACACGAGCGGAAAGGAGAGCGTACTTTGAGTCGCGGGTTCGCGCAATCTGGCAAATGTTGTGGAGGGCACGCCGCTCCATCGGGGTCAGCGGCTTGTTGGGTCTGGGGTAGTTGTCACCCTTCCAGTACCACCGTGGCTCTGGCGGAAGCACGGTGGGTGTGATGACAGGGTTGCCCGCGTCCTCGTCAGCGACGGCTGTGCGAGGGTTCGGGTTTTGTTGAACCATGCGACGGGCACGCTTGTTTGACTCGCGGTTCTTCTTCACATAGCGCCCAGTCTTGTACCCGCCCCGATGCTTGCACGCCTTGGCCATGGCTTGCTCCAAGTTGGGCCCCCGCACCAGTGGCGCTGGGGAGATGTGCTTGCTCTTCTTGGATGGGAGCGGCACGGCTTCGCCGATGCGGAAGGAGCTAAAGTCGGCTTCCAGCACGGGGGGAGAAAGCCCCGTGCCGGGTGCAGTTGACCCTTTGTCACGCGCGCCAGAAGCAGAGGAAGCGGCGCGGCGCTGCTTTGACTTCAGTTTTGCGGCGGACGCAAGCGCAACAGCTGTGGACGCCGATGCCTGGGCGTGCCAGTCGCGCAAGTCATGGAGCTCGTCGTCGCTGTCGTCCATGTCGTCCATGTCAAATTCGTCATCGGCAAAGGCGGGCGCAGCACCTTGCTGGTTTTTCTTGTTCTTCTTGTTCTGTTGCTTTTGCTTCTTCTTGCTTGCCGCGGCTGCCTGTTTTTCCTTCTTCTGCGCTGCGCTGGTGGAGGCCTTCTTCTCCTCTTCCATGGCTTCTTTGGCCTCCACCGTGGTGGCCCAGTCTGGGTCCTCGCTGTTCTCTCCACTGTCGCTATCGAATGTCGGTGATTTGCCGCCTCCACCGCCGGCACCACCGTCGCTGTCACTGCCTGCAGTGCGGCGGGAACCACCAATAACAACACCTACTGCTCGGACTCCTGTTCCTCCTGCATCGTCTTCATCCGATGATGACTGCAGCCAGCTTGGCTCCGCGAGGCTTTTCCTTGGTCGCTGTCGAAGCCTCGCGCTTGTCCTTCGCCGCTGCCCTTGCTGTTGCCCTTGCTGCTGCCCTTGCTGCTGCCCTTGCTGCTGCCCTTGCTGCTGCCCTTGCTGCTGCCCTTGCTGCTGCCCTTGGTGTTGCTGCGCATCACCACCAGCTGCATGATGACGAGCCACGCTGCTGGTGCTGTTGCTGTTCTCGTCGTCCGCCATTCTCGCCAACCAACGTGTCAATGACTATATGTCTTTATGTGTCGTTGTGTCGTTGGTAGAATTCACAACACCACAAATATGTGTGAGATACATGTTGACATGATGGCTATTTTTCTTTCGGTCTACTGATCTGTTTTTCGGTGTGGAAGAGGACGCTTTGCTTGCTTGGGAGAGCGGTGGTGCTGGCGTTGTTCTTCGTTGTTGGTTGTGCTGTTGTGGTTGGCCTGCTGCTGCTTCTTCATTTATCTCCGCTGATCGGTTCACTTTGCTCTCCTTGCTTGCTGTTGGACACTGACTGACTTGCTTGTACATTTCCCCAGGTCTTCCTTTCCTTCCTTGCTTGTTGCGTAAAGCCGCCAACTCCTCCTTTTCCACCATCCACGATGACGACGTCCCTTGAGCAGCTCAAGCAGTTCACCACAGTTGTGGCTGACACTGGCGACTTTGAGAGTGAGTGTGTGCCTGTGTGTGTGCAGATCATTGGGGGCTGGTGATTGTTAAAGTCGAAGGAGTTTAGCAGTGTGTTTTGGTTGTGTTTCGATCGCAATCAACGCGGCTGTGTGTGTCTGTGTCTGTGTCTGTGTCTGTCAGTGTGTCTGTGTCTGTGTGTCTGTGTCTGTCTCTCTATGTCTCTGTCTCTCTCTGTCTCTCTCTGTGTGTCTCTGTCTCTCTGTGTCTGTGTGCACTTTTCTCCCCCTTTTGTTCTGCCCTGCTATCTCATGGCCACCCCTCATCATACCCCCTCATGATCATCTGTCATCATCCCGAACCACTCACTCGCCGGACTATTGCTGGCACACCGTTCACAGCCATTGCACAGTTCTCTCCTCAGGACGCCACCACCAACCCATCCCTGGTGTACAAGGCTGCCCAGGAGGACAAGTACAAGGTGAGCGGTGGTGAAAGTAGAGGGCGCACACTCTCGTTTGGTGTGGCTCCTGCCCTTGCCCTCATGCTTGTGTCGGCTGCGTTCTCTCGCACATTCTTCTCATTGCGCTGCGCTGCGACAATGCGTCCATTGACAGCATGTCGTTGAGGACGCCATCAAGTACGCCAAGGAGAACGGCAAGGACATCAAGGAGCAGATCACGCTCGCTGGCGATAAGCTCTTTGTCAACTTTGGCGTCGAGATTCTCAAGCTCGTCCCCGGCCGCGTCTCCACCGAAGTCGACGCTCGGTACGTTGCCCCTTCGCTTGTGCGTGTGGGTGTCTGTCTTGTGGTTGCATGTGTCCGCCTGTGTCTTCAATCTTCTGTGTTTGCATCACGTCCTCTCACACCACGTCACCGCAACCAACCAACACGCGTACATCTTCCCATTATTGCAGGCTGTCGTTTGACCGGGAGGCGCAGATTGCCAAGGCGCTGCGGCTGATTGAGCTGTACAAGGCCAACGGCATTGACAAGGAGCGTGTGCTCATCAAGCTCAGCTCCACATGGGAGGGCATCCAGGCTGCCCGCGAGCTCGAGGAGAAGCACGGCATCCACTGCAACCTCACCCTCCTCTTCTCCTTTGCGCAGGTCGGTCTCAAGGCCGTGGAGGTTGTGGCTGATTCTGTGTGCGTGCGTGTGTCTGTGTCTGTGTTTGCGTGTGTTCGTATGTGTCTGTGTCTGTGTCTGTGTATGTGTCTGTGTCTATGTGTGTCTATGTCTGTGTGTGTGTGTGTCTGTCCTCGCATACCACCCTCCTCTTTCCGTTTTGCTGCGCCCGCAATCTCACCCACCGCTGCTCCCTTCCCCCCGTCGCACCACCGTCACCACCACCAACACTGCCCGTCATCGTGATCAGGCTGTTGCGTGCGCCGAGGCCGGCGTGACACTCATCTCCCCCTTTGTCGGGCGCATCCTCGACTGGCACAAGGCGCACAACGGCGGCAAGGACATTGCGCCGGAGAACGACCCCGGTGTGGAGTCGGTGACCAACATCTACAACTACTACAAGAAGCACGGCTACAAGACGGTTGTCATGGGCGCCTCCTTCCGCAACACGGGAGAGGTCACCCACCTCGCAGGATGCGTGAGTTGCATGCACCATGGACGCTTGTGTGTGTGTGTGTGTGTGTGTGTGTGTGTGTGTGTGTGTGTGTGCGTATGCTTGTTTGTTTGTGTGTATGCTTGTTTGTTTGTGCGTCTTGTCTGTTTGTTTGTCTGTTCGTCTGTCTCCCTGTCTGTCTGCCTCTTTCTCTGTGTGTATGAACGACACGGACTGCCATTCTACCCCACCTCCTCCATCCCTTGCAATGCGCTTACGGCTCACAATTCCTGCCCATCCCCCTTGTTGTTGTGGTGGATGGATACAGGACCTGCTCACCATCTCTCCTGCTCTCCTCAAGCAGCTTTCCGAGTCCACCGACCCGGTCTGTTGCTCATCTGCCCCTTTACGGCCGCCCCTGCTGTGTTGCCTTTGACCCACGTCTCGCTCGCCACAAACACACTCGCTCACAAACCCGCACACACAAACACTCACTCACTCACTCACAAACACACACACACTCGCAAACACACACTCACTCGCAAACACTCACTCTCACACACACACACACTCGCAAACACACACTCACTCGCAAACACTCACTCTCACACACACACACACTCACAAACACTCACTCCCTCACAAACACACACTCACTCAAACACTCAAACACTCACAAACATCCCCCTTCCCCTTCCCCTCCTTACCTTCCTGACTGCGGCAGGTGACGCAGCGGCTGAGTGCGGAGAAGGCGAAGACGCTCGATCTCGAGAAGATTTCCCTGGACGAGAAGCAGTTCCGCTGGATGCTCAACGAGGACGCAATGGCCACAGAGAAGCTCTCGGAGGGCATCCGCAAGTTTGCACAGGACCAGGTGCCCACACGAATGCTTGCTTGCTTGCATGTATGCATGCAAGCGCGTGGTTCCTTGTCGTGTTGCTTGGTTGCCGTGTTGGCTTTTGGGATGTCACGTGGATTGTCCATTCGCTCTGCGCCTCTCACATCCATGATCTCCTGACTGCACTCTCTCCCACCTTACATTGCCTTCCATCATTGCCATCAGATCAAGCTGGAGACGCAGATCCGCGAGCTGCTCATGAAGGCCTAAACACACACACACACACACACACATGCACACACGAGCCGTGTGTTCGTGGGATGCTGTTGTTCATCTGATCGAGGACGTGTTGTGCACTTCTGGCGATTGTCAATTGTGTCGTTTTCCTGTGTGCCTTGGTCCTCTCTTCTCCTACCGTTCATTCCTCTGCACCGGTTCCCCACCGCTGTTGCCCCAAACGCTCATACACGCACCCACAACACAAGCATAAACACATGGTTTACCTGCTGCTGCGTCCCACTCTTGTTCTTCACACCTCCACAACATAAACGGCTGTTGTTTCGACACATCCCAAAGAAAACGAGAGAATGGGCCATGTTGGGTTTCGAGCAAGTTTACTCTTGTGTCTGTATCCGTGTCTGTGTTGGTGTGTACATGAGGGGGCAAACGAAGGAAAGCAAAGCACAACACGAGAAAAGATCGAACCCAAGGGACAAGGTGTCAAGCAAGGAATACAGGCAGTGAGAAATGAATGCAAGACAGGCAACGTGGCCCAAATGATGATGAAGATGACTTGTGGGGACGATGGTACATGAAACGATGAGCATGAATGCGTGCGTGTCTGCATGTGTTCGTGTATGTGTATGTGTATGTGTAAATGTGTTTGGATATGTGTATGTATATGTGTAAATGTGTGTGGATATGCGAGCAGTATGTGTTTTGGGTCTGAGGGTCGTTCGTTGTTTGCGCTCCGACTACACATCACGAAGGCGAGCGCCAGTCAACGTCACCAGCACTTTCCTGAACACACGCACACACAAACATCATCAAGCACGGGCATTGTTGGTATTGGTGTAAAGGGTGCCAAGCAAGGAATACAGGCAGTGAGAAATGAATGCAAGACAGGCAACGTGGCCCAAATACACGCAAATACACGCCTCGTCGCTCACACATGCCATCAACACACACCCAAAGACGAATTGAAATGCACAGAGCATGACACGGAAATCGCTGCATCGCAGCACAACACCACAACAGTGACACGAACCTTCCGTCGGGGGTGTTGGTGACGAGTTGTCTGTGCGCAGCGATATGCGATGACCGGCGGCTGCGGCGGCGGCTCGAGTGCGAGTACTGGTGGGATGAAGAATACATTGAACACAGAGAATGCACAATGCACAATACACAATGCACACATGGCACACAATGTGCAAGCGGGTGGATGTGGAAGCGCAAATGAAAGCATGTGCAAGTTAATGGTGAGAAAATGAAAGTGTGATGCATGGTCTCGCGAATGATACCCTTGTCAACGAATGCCAGCACCACCATCAAACACACACGCACGCACACACACACACACGCTACATGCACACGTATGTACACGTATGTACAAAAACACACACACAGATACGCATGAGCCCACCAACGCACATAGGGGTCGAGCTGATCGCGGCCGCTCGTGGACGATCCGCCAGAATCTGAAGCATCAGCAACACACGAGCAACGAGGATGAGATGACGGCACAAAAAAAAGACACACACACTTGCATGTATGCAAGGCGATTTCAAGCTGGGTTAGTGGCACCTCTTTTCCGCGCACCCAACAACACAACACAGCACAACACAACACAGTACACCGATCAACCAACCTGATGACGCAATGGTTGTGTGACTGCCAACAGATGTGACGGTGGCGTGTGAGAGCGGTGACGATGGCCCTGAAGATGAAGAGGATAAACGCTTTGCTTTCCCGACGGTTGTGTGTTTGCCTGCAAGCATCGCAGAGCGAGCCGTTGCTTCCGCATTTTTGGCGCCAACAGCAACACTAGGCTGTGTCGCGTCTGCAGTGACGACAGCAGCGCCGAGGCTGGAGTGGGCGTGCCCTCCATCCTGCCTGTCCTGCTCTTGTCGATCTTTCATCATGAACGCCGTCAACGCAACATCCGTGGAACTCCTGAGTCACACGCACACACGGATGAATGTAGAGTGTGGGATGAGAACACGTAAGACGTGATAACAGGTGACAGCAGGTGACAACAGGCGATCGCAGGTCTGACAGGGCAAACAAAGTGACATATCATCAAGTGCAGGGCAAACCCATTGCACAACACGCGCAAGCAAAGCGGCGACCACACGCCACACAACACGCTCACCTCCGCAAAACCGGCTTCACCTCCACAGGCGAAGGTGAAGATGAACTTGCATGGGCACCACCCTGGCCATCGGTGTTGGAGTGGCGGTGCGCGTGTGTCTGGAGCATGGCTGCATCGTATGAAGATCGCGACTCGTCGAGACTCAATCGCTTCGGGCGAAGGCGACCGCGACGGCCGCTCGCCGGCTCACGATCAAACACACGGTGCTGTTGTTGTTGCTGTTGTTGTTGGTGCAAGTGTGTGTTTGACCAGGATGAGGCAAGCAGCTGCGTCTGGCTCGGTCGCTTCGATAGCCGTGGCTGCTGCTGCTGCTGCTGCTGCGGCTGTGCTTGCGTGCTGGTTTGCGACGCGCTCAGGGCCACATCGCTTCCGGGACTGTCCACGCTCATCCGCCCGCTGCCATGCCCAGCACGTCCATGCGGCATTGTAGCGGTTGTGGTGGCGGTTGTGGTGGCTGCGGTGTACTCTGCACGCAGTGGGGAGCGGATGGCGCTTGATTCCGAGAAGACTGGTTTGCAGTTTCTGCTGGCGAGAACGCGACAGCGGCCGTGGACTTGTCTCGAGCAGTCACGACACCGGTACACGCAACTGGACGAGTACACGGTAGCCGAATGTATGTGTGTGCGTGGGTGTGTGTGTGTGGGGGGGGGTGTGAGTGCAACAAAAGGGGGGAAAGATAGTTGAAGGTGCAGTACGTGCAGTAAGTGAAGAATACACATCATGGACATGCACTGTATGCAAGTACCCCTCGATCTCGTGCACGCGTGCACACGTGCATGTGCCGTTTGCATGTGCAAACACTTACTGTCGAATGGTTTGGCTGCAGTGATCACAGACGAGTGGGGAGTGTGTTGATGCGGCCTCGAAGATGTGCGGCATGCACTTGAACGCGGCAAACAAGTGAATCTGCCACGACCAAACGGAAATGTAGTGTTGACACAAGTAAGCTCGTAGAGCACGTGAAGCTATTTGAAGAGGGTATTTGGGAGAGTATGTGACAGGTGCGGTGGCATATGTGTTTGAGTGGCTGAATGGCTGGGTGGGTGTCGTGTACATTTTGGATGCCTGACCTCCTTGATGTAGCTTGCGAGCGTGTGTGGATACACAACACCGTCACCGTATTCGTCCATGTCCTCAAATGTCGCTGCAAAAATAAAATCAACAGCAAAACACAAGTCATAACCGAACACGTCAGACGTGTGGTGAGAAAGCAAAGCAAGGCGATTATTGTTGGTACCCACACGTGTGAATGCATATCACGGCATATGTGACGTTGTGCGCATCGGTGCGACATCCTTCAAACAAGCGAACAAGATCAAGAGATGCGCAGAACCCAAAACTGTGTGTGTATGTGTGTGTATGTGCCATGAGCGCACCAAAGAGGGGCAAGCCTTGTCGAACGACAGCCCATGTTGCAGGGTCCATGTGCTGTTGCGTCGGTGCATATCGTGCAAAGATCTGGATATTGAAGAGGAAAGGAAGAAGCACACCACACCAGACCATCAAAGGATGAGGTGAATTGCGAAGCACGCCCAAGAACAACCACATTTGCGCGTAAAGAAGCATGGTGAGTCGCTTTGACGCACAGATACACACGTCCACACACACACACACACATTCACACACACATATGCACATTCACACACACACACATTCACACACACACACATATGCACATTCACACACACATATGTCACACACACACACACACACACATTCACACACACACACATATGCACACATGCACACATGCACACGCGCACTGCAACGACTGCTGACCTGGTTGGCCAGGTGTTTCACGTCTCGCTCAAGATCTTCCCCTTTGCTTCGCTGCGATGGAATCGCAAATCCTGCAAGCACAATATAAATGCAACATGAACAACGAACAATTAGTCAATGTATCGAGAAACAGGCGGATAAAGTCGCCCTCTTCCGCTCACACACACACACACACACGCACACACACACACAACTTGACGTGCCTGCAAGCTTGAGGGACGAGAGCAGCGCGGCCGGCGAAGACGTGCGAATCCAGGATGCAAAGTCGTCAGGAATGTTTGAACCACAACACGCCTCCTTCACGCGCTCCCGAGCATCAACCTAATGTGACACAACAAAAGTACAGAAAACCAAAGCGCGTGATGTGACGTCACAGAGAACGCGGCACCAGAAGCAACGCAAGCTTCTTCAAAGCAATGGAACATGCCTCATATCACTGACGCATCCATGGTGTACGGGCACACGGGAGTGACGAAAATTGTGACAAACCTTGAGGCAGCGAAGGCCTTCGAGGAGAATGGGCTCGCACGCT